ATCATAAGTACCCAGGGGGTATTTTCAAAATACATCTGACACCTCCCAAGTAGATTCTAATTTAGTTAGTCTGGGTGAACTTTGTCAGGATTTATGGAAAATACAGGCAGCATTTCCACAGTATCTGGAAGATCTGCCCCCAACCCACACTTAATTTTTGTCAAGATTCCCTAGGCAGCTCTAGGAAGACCTTTAGATAATCTCCTCTGTGGGTTACCCAGGGCTGCCACCCGGCTAGCTTCCTCTCTCCCTTTGTTCACATGTCAAGACTCATTTCCGGTTTTCAACTTTCCAGAAAAATGGGTGTTGGGGGAAAAAAAGAAGAGTCACCATCTCACTAGTCATCACCTGGATATCCCATGCAGTTCACCTCCCTGAATTGAGTCTTATTTCTTCTGTGAAAAATGAGTCTGTTTTAGTGGCACCATTTCCATTCTCAGGCTACTGAGCGGTCACCCGCTCCTGGAAGAGCACAGAGCATCAGCACGTCAGGGCTGGGAGGAGGGCAGCTCTGGCTGCAGTGAAGCTGGGATTGTTTGTGGACTTCATACATCCATCCCTCCATATGCGTACCTATTTGGGGGCAAGTGTCATCGCAGGCTGCTGCACTAAGTGATCCTGAATTGTATCCGTCACAGAGGACCCTCGCTGCAAGCCTATGATTTCTCCTTCTAGCTAACTGCTTTGGAAGATCAAGAAGGAAGTCACCAATGAACATAGTCCTAAAGCAAGAAGGAGAGGCCCAGACACACTGCTGTCAAAACTGCAGGAGCCATCTGGACAGAAAGAAGCTGCTTTTAAGGAATTTGGCTTTGCCAGGCCTGCACATGTAATTCCTACATAGATGTTCCTTGGCAGTCAGGCATCTGATTTCTGTTGGCAACTATCTGTCCCTGGTTGCTTCTGGCCTGGGTTGGCACATCAGCTTAGTTCTTCCATTCAGTGTTTGGGCCCTGAGCCCTTCTAACATACTGAGTCCTTCCCAGGAGGTAACCAGCATCTCCCCACGGGGCTGAGCTAGGACGCTCGGCACTTTCTACCTGTGCCCTGTAGAGCGTCACAGCTATACTCTGTTCCATCATTATCTCCAGCCCAAAGGTCAGAGGCAGGAGTCACTCCATGTGCAGGCAGAAAGGTGCCAGGGGAACATGCTGAGCTTCTTAGGACCCCCAACCAGCCACGGACCCTAGTTATAACACCTCATCCATTTCAGTGGGACTCCCTCCCCTCAGAGGAGACCCTGCCTGTCGCAACATTGTCTGTATCACCAGCTAAGCCTGGCTCTATTTCCTAGCACCTGGGCCTCCTGTGGCTGCCTCTGTAAAGCCCAAGCAAGGCTTCGAGGCCTCTGGTCATCAGTTCCTAAGGAGAGGTTAGGCCTTTGTTCTTCCCTCACAGCAGTGGCTTTTATACCCAAAGGTTTCTTGGAAAGACCTCTGGGTAGGGAAGTGGCTGGGAGAGTGGCAGGGTGGATAAAGGTCAAGAGCACCAGGTTCTGGAATAAATAAGTTCATGTGCTTGGTATGTTACCTGGAGCATCAAAAGGACTCACAACAACGTGGTTATTGTTACAGAATGCTAGGTTGGGGGCAGATCTTCCAGATGCCATGGAAAAACTGCATATATTTTCCACAATTCCTAACAAAGTTCCTGCAGAGTAGGTATTATTTTTACAAGTTTTGCAGATGAAAACAGGAAAGTTCAGAGGAGTTAAGTAACTTCCAAAGTCACACAGCCGGGGACAGAGTCTGGATTCAAACACAAATGAATCCAATTCTAAACCCTGGTCTCTTTCCACTCTTCCAGGCCATCTCACCTCCCTTAAAAAACAGTAAATTTCTCAATGCATTTGTTTCTTAAAACAACTAACAAACCCATTCAAAGAATTAATGAGGGAAAAGGTCAAATACTAATCGTAACAGTGGAGTTATTGTAATTGAGTATAAAACAATGCTCTGGCCACTTGAAAACCCCAAATATGAGCAAAAATGGATGAACTTTGTCATTCCAAGTCCTCCTTTTCTTATGGCTCTTGTTCCCGCCACCCCAGCATCTGCTCTATCTGTCTACGAGAAAGTTCCTGGTGCCTGGTGCTTGAACAACCCCAAGGATAGCATCCCAGTCTCTGCCTCTTCTTTCTTCCCTTAATCTGCCAACCTGCCACCAGGGATCACTCTTTACTGCATTCTGTACAAGAGTAAAACTCAAAGAATAAGCCATGTGCAAGAAAGGACTGCTCTGGGCAGCCCAGGTGATTATATGCCAGTCCAGAGTATATTGAGGAGTGGAATTTGAGGGTCAAACAAGAAAGATAGTGGGCATGTCTCCGATGGAGGAAGCATCTCTCATTCAAAGGAAGAGTATAGGGGAGAATTCACACCTGGAACATCTCTGGAGACCCTGTATAATGTAACCTATAGTGTCCTGCCTCCTCTACTCTGGTTTGGGTTGTTCATTGTCTTAACAAGTCAGCACAAGGAGAAGTGAATTTCGCTAAATAATCCTGGAAGGACAGGACTGCTTCTCTAGATACAGCCTCTATTTCTTACTCTTATGGGGTACAGGACAAAGGCAACTAATGCAATCTTGTACCTAGTCAGAGCATATCAACTTGGGCTTCTTGGTTCCTGAAGAATGACGGTATTTGGAGAGTTTAAGAATCCACTTGTGCACCACGCCTTTAAAAGAGATGGTTTTGTCTCCCACTACTATGAACAATAATTTCACAAAGGTACCAGATATTGTTGAGGGTTATCCTATGTTGTTTTGATCTTAAGAAACAAAGTCAAGGAGAAGAGCCCTTTGGTAGCAATGTCGTGGAGTGAGGAAGGAGGCAGACTCTTCTGGTATATGAATCAGGGTTTTCCAGAGACATAGAACCACAGAAGCAGGAGTTGATGCTGCCATCATGAGATTGAAATACAGAAGGCAGGGTAGTGGTCTGGAACTTCAAGAAGGAATTAATGATTCAGTCTTTTAAAAAAAAAATGATTTGTTTGTTTATGCATACAAGAGCTGGGGTATAGGCCAGAGATGCGGGGGGTAAGAGGATCCACTAGAGACAGAGTGGGCAACAGAACAGGCAGACTGCCTGAAATACACTGCTGAGGGGAGCAGCGGGTGAGACAGGAGAGGTCTGCTGTGCCATGTGGGTTGCTCCCTGGCAGGCCAGGGATCGAACTCGTGCTGCAAAGGCTGCAGATTGCTTCATAGTGTGGTGCTTAACCCCTTGCGCCACCAGGGAGACCCTAATGATTCAGTCTTAAGGCAGAATTTCTTCTGTGGAAAAGTTTAATTTTTGTTTTTAAGGTCTTCAGCTGATTGGATGCGGCCCACTCACATTGAGGGACTCCCCTTTGCTTAAAGACAACTGATTGCAGAGGTCAACCACATTTCCAAAATGCCTTACAGCAAAACCTAGATTAATATTTGATTAAGTAACTGGGTAGTATAGCCTAGTCACCATGACATAGAACTAACCATCCTATACAAATAGCCAAGAATGAGCTGTCATGGCCTTGGACCCCGGAATTAAGGTTTAGTCTGAATCTATTAGTATCTAGACACTAATATAACTCAGTCACCTCCTCATAGTTTCTTCTGCTCTAACCGGCACCTACTTTTTCACATTCAGCTCAGATTTCCAAGAGGGAACATTGCATTGACTCAGTCCGCATTGAACCATTGAGGCAACTGGTTGTCCTGGAGTCCAGTGATCTCCCCATGACCCAGCACTTGTTCTGTGCCAAGGACTCCAACTCAGAGCAGTGGCTGTAGGCCCATAAGCTCCAGCTTGAAGAGAAGGTGGTACAGCAGACCCATGTGCATGCCTGTAGAGCACTATCTGAGCAGCGTCAGCTCCATGGATCCTGGACACCACACACGGGGCTGCACTCCACTCAGCTGCCCCAGGACAGAGGCAACCACACACATGTTCTGGCAGGTACTGTGTGCAGTGAGCATGTCACATGGCCACTTACAGAGTCTTTTTCCAGTGTCAAGTCCTCCATGATCTCCCAATGATACTCATTCCTTGCTTGTCCCTTCTGCAACCCTCTCTAGAGGTTGTTCTTCATTCTCCTAGAGCATTAGTGACTGTAACCACCACCTGATAGATATGATGGGAGAAAAGAGAAACTTCTTGTGCTAGTAAAGCTAAAATCATGTCTATCTTGTTGTCTTTTTAATGAGGGAATGGAAAAAGGAGTATAATTATTCAAGTTTCAATATTTGAGCAGGGAGGGGAAAATCAGCCTGGACCATGCCCCAATTCTACAATTGGCCCCAAGGCCAACTGCAACATTTATAGCTCCTTTGTTCCTCTTTTTGTTTATTATGTAGTGGGTGATTCTAACTTTGGCTCTTAGGATATTTTCTGACTAAAGTTGGTAGAAAATCCAGCTAAGAGAAGTTGGGTTTGTTTTTCTCACAGAGAAAGAAGCAAAAGGCAACTTCTGGAGTCAGTTTAGCAATAATTTCAGGTCACATCTCACTCTGCTCTCTCTCTTTACTTCGTGATCACAAGATGCCTCCAAGGGCATCCTGTGGATGTTCAAGGCAGGAAGACTGGAGAGGGAGTGACATTGACTTCATGTGGACTTTCTATCAGTAAAACCAAAGATTTCCCAGGAGTTTCCAGAAGCTTTCCCTTCTGTCTTCTTGCCAGAAGTGCATCACACAAACACTCCTAGCTACATTGAGGGCTGCGAAATAAAAAAATCCATCAGAGGACAAACCTATCCATACTACCTTACACAAAACATGATTATTTAACTGGTTATAGGCAGATTACCTTCCTCCAGACAAGATAAGCAAAACGGGTGGAGAAATGGCTGGAGTGTTGGTGGGTCTGCCTATAGGATGTCTTCTGGCAACTTTTTTACCCCCTGCACCTTCCCTTGATTGCAACACTTTCCCTTGATTATCAGCATCAAAGTTGCTGGCCAACTCCTTGTAGCCCCTCATTTATTGAATCTCCAATGGCAACATGAGTTCCAGAGGATTTTTATTATGTGACTCAGTGGCAGTGTCTCTCCATTGGGTAGGGAAACTTTCAGATCAGCAGAGTGCAGCTGCAGGGGTGACACTGCACCATCAGGTGGAAGCATGAGGGGAACCTGTGCCTTGATCTCGAAATTCCTGGCTCTTTTCTTTTGGCTCTGGAAAGAGATGGCATGATGTAAATGAACTTAAATTTATTTATGAATTCACAGTTGCTTTTTCTCATTATATCATTTCTCAACTAATCAATGTTATTGCCAAACAAGAGTTCTATGAGTGTCTGAGAAATAGTCTTGACTTTCAAAAGGGTTTCTTGCACTTGAAGGAAGATGGAGGCCTGCTGGGGACTTGCCCAGGAGTTCAGTAGCCTTTGTGTTAAACCTGACTGTGTGGCTAGCAAACTGCCTGTGCCACCTCCCATGTCTGGACCTCAGTTGCACGCTCTGTAAAATCAGCTGTTTATATTAGAACATCACTAAAGTCTTCTTCAGTTCAAAACATTTGTTACTAATGTATTGGGACCTTGCAATTCTACATTCCATGATCCTATTACCTTCAGAGTTGAACTTTCTTGCTCTTCTTAGTGTGCCTTCATTTCAGACACTGAAGATAGACATCTTCTCATTTCCCCTGAAGAAAATGGGCTTTCTCTCTAGGTTAATTATCTATCTTGCAGTAGCATGTAAAAGACTCCCAGTGGTCATTGGTTATACTGTATTATTCACAACTTCTATTTTCAGAAATAAGAAAAAAAGCAAGGAAGGAAGGAATTCAGTTCACAAAGTCTTAAGTCCTCCCCCAAAAGAAAAATAAAGCAAATTGAAACTGTCTAGATATTATTGGGGCCTTTCACTTTCTAGGCTAATTGGTAATGTATCAAAAATATCACAAAGTTCTAGCAGAATTCCTTAATGCTGAAGTTCATTTATTCACACATGGTACAAAATTGATGGTGTACCATAGCAAAATAAATCTTCATTTAAAAAATAAATGTGAAAATGTTTGAAGATATTTTTAACTATGCTTGTTTTTTTTTATGCCTCTTTCCTACTCATAAATGTTTACAAAGAACACAGAGCAAAAATCAGCTATCAGAAACCATTGACTACACTAATTATGCACTAAATCCTCTAATATTCTTTAGCTTTAAAATAGAAAAGACAATAATTAATACTCATGTCTTTGGAGAGAATAAAATCACACCAAAAGAAATGTGATAACATATGTCAAAGTTTTTATAATCTATAAAACAATATAATTAAAATTAAAGGCTCTTTATGAGCTAATATGGGAATGATAAAAAGAATCATTTGTAAAATGTGTTATTTATGATTAATAATTTTGTTTGAAATTCAAAGAAAATCTCTACATTTGAGATTTTCTTAGATATCTCATAGGATTTTAGAGATTTGTTTCCACTTATTCAGAAAGATGGAAAAACAAATTATTTCCTTTACCTTAATTGTGATTAGTACTTTACAGGTTATGCAAAGGTCAAAACATCAAATTGCCTACTTAATTATAGTTTATTATGTATCAGTTTTAACTTAGTAAAACAAAAAGCTGAAAATTTTATAAAAAGGTAATTTAACATGGAGGATTAAATCTTGGTTAACTCACTTTTCTGGCATCCTTCTCCTGAATTTTCCTTCATTCCTGGAAATTTTCTGAGGTGCAATAGTTGGTACACATCCCTGGCACTGAACTACTTCCAGCTGGAGTTAACACGGAGACCAGGACTTCATTACCACCTTTGGCAGCCATAAGGAAAAGGAAAATGCAGACTCTGGAAGATTCTCTGTGCTTGGCAGGAGCACAGCTATGAACTAGCTGGTGAGGGCAGAATAGTCACTGCCCATTTCTGGAAATATACACCTAACTGCTAAGATTTGTCTTTAGGATTTCAGCAGTAAAGGGCAAGCTTTCCCCAGGGAAATTTTTTCAAAATGACCTGAGAAAGAGGAAAAAGAACAGTAGGCTGGAGCTGAAGTCAAGATCCAATGCCAAGCAAGAAAAGTACAGTGACCTTGAAACAACTGACCTCTGCCTCCTGCCCTCCTTTCCTTTAGCCTAGCCTGTAGCCCCTGGGCACATTCAGGGAAGGCCAGATCTGGGAACAGACTTTCCTAAAAGTCATTTCACCAACACAGAGATTTCTAAAAGGACAGACCATTTTAGACTCCAGACAGAAATAGAAGAAACAGGACATTTGCAAAATGACAGGGAGTTTAGACAGTGATGCTCAAGAGAAGCAGGAGACGTCTTGTGCCCAAGTTGAATCCTTCCCCACCAGCATCAATTAATGATGTGTTCTTTTGCTTTAAGATTTGATGTTTACCTAAAGCAAAATCTTCTAGAAGCATAATGCTCAGATGATATCTTTATTCTCAGGTAAGTTTGATGAGAAAGCCCCAGAGTTCTCAGGATTTTCTGCCTATTGAAATCTCTTCATTAGATTTGTAACTACTGGTAGTTATGAAGATTCTGATTTAACTGGTCTGGAATACAAAATTGTGAGCATGGGGGTTTTGCTCTTGTTGTTTTTAAGTCTCCTAGGTGAGGGTAATGTACAGCCAAGCCTGAGAATCACCTCCCTCAGACAGTGCACCCCCATATGATCCCCTAGAAGCTTGGTAAATATATACATATGTGCATCCTCCACATGCCTCAGAATCTCAGGGTGTTTATCCTATAGCCATCCACTTACCCTGGTCTTAAGACCTCCCACAAAGTACCTATGTCCACAACTGGCCATCTCACCTCACCTACAGAAGACTTAAAGCAGGGATTCTTCACCGTGTAGGCACATTATTTGGGATCTTACTGAAATGCAGATTTTGAATAATGCTGCATGGGCCTTCGAGTCTGCACTTCTAACTAGCTCTACGCTGATTCCCAACATGTTCCTCTGTGGAGCACATTTTGAGGTGTAAGAACCTACTGTAGTGGTCGTCCCTTGGCTACACACTAGAGATACCGCTGTCTGGGAAGTTCTGTTTCAGTTGATCGAGTAGAGCCTGGCACTGGGATTGTTGCTAAAGTTGTCCAGGTGATTCTGAGATGCAAACAAGGTTGAGCTAATAATTCAAAAACTACTTTAGGGGCCTCCCTGGTAGTGCAAGGGGTTAAGAACCACACTATAAAGCAATCCGCAGCCACTGCAGCATGAGTTCGATCCCCGTGCAGCCAGGAAGCAACCCACATGGCGCAGCAGACCTCTCCTGTCTCACCCACTGCTCCCCTCAGCAGTGTATTTCAGTCAGTCTGCCTGTTCTGTTCCCCACTCTGTCTCTGGTGAATCCTCTCACCCCCGCATCTCTGACCTGTACCCCAGCTCTTGTGTGCATAAATAAATAAATATGTTTTAAAAAAAAATACTTTAAAAGAATATCTGCTTTAGGATTTTGGCCAAATAATGGCACTTTAAATTTATGACAGGAACAAAAATGTTAAAATAAAAGCATATATAGTCTCTGTATAGAAGGGAAGGCAGAAATGAAAGCTTTTGGTCAAAGGGAACTCCTTCGGCATAAAAAGAGAGCCAGGGAGCTCTGAGGGGAAGTGATCCTGGATACCAAGAAGCAGGAATTAAGAAAAAAAGGTGGCTACAGTGGAAATGGGACTTGGGTAAGAGGGAGAAATGTCTAAAAAGAATTTTAAGAAGGTTTGACTGTGTGTAGGGCCATATAACCTCCTTCCTCAGTGTCCTCAAGAAACTTTGAGTAAAGACCAAGTCCAGATAATAATTGGACTCCAATCTCAGGTGGGACTTGTTTGGTTTTTGCTGAGCTACCATTCCTCAAGGTATCTCTTAACTCTAATGGGAAGGACTGTTACTCTCTTGTTTAGAGATGAAGAAGCTGAGGCTTAGAGAAGGGAAATAATTTGCCCCAAGTCTTGCAACTGCCACACAACTGGGTTATGGTTGAATGAATCAACCAGAGGAGGCCAGACTCTGACCTGCTTGGATGGGACCAACACTTTGGCTTTGATTGGAGAAGGGAAGAGGTCTAAAGAAAGAGAACATAAAGGCCTGAGCAGATGCGGAAGTGTTATCACAACTGAGGGCAGAAGTCAGCCACCTCAGCACTGGTCTGTCACTCAGACCACCTTCCAGACCTGACCCCCAGGAAAAAGAGGGGGTGTAGGGAGAGGAGTCAGGAGTGGGAAAGATAAGAGTTTTTCTCCAAGGATTCCTCTGTAAAGTTGGGGTCACAAACAGTCCTGCTTTGAGATCCACTCACAGCAAACACAAAGGTAGGCCCGCAGGGTCTTCCTACTGTGAAAAATAAAAAAAGAAGACAATTTAGGTGATATAAACAAATTTTATTTAACATTTCATGAAGCAGTCTCCTTTCAAAGAACCCAAATTAGGGTAGAAGGCAGGAAGCTTTTTATAAGACAAAAGAACAAGGAAGAGACAAATAGAAAATATCCGATCAGCTGGAGCCACAGTCAACCCTGTTTTATGTGAGAAGGCCCAAGTGGCTTCGCATTTGGGGTTTGACTAATGGAATATACTTCACTCTCTTTCTGATCAAGCAGAGCATTTACAGGTACACAGAATTTCTCTAAGCTTTAGTTGGTGACATGGCTCCCCATTCAGAGCAGCTCCATCTTGGGCCTAAAAGTTATTTCAACACTACATTAGCAGGAAACACAGCTTCAAGAGCTTTGTGTTACACAGCACCCATTCAACAAAACATTTACTTAGCGGATTCAATGATAAGCAATTATAGAGCTAGAACAAGGGTTCTCCTCCAAAGATGCAAAACCCATCAGATTCTTGTGTTTGTTTCCACGAGGGCAGTGGTGCCTTCATATGTTCTCCTAGTCACTCACACATCTTGAACCTGTGAAAAATTATTTCTAATATTTCTTAGGCCTCAAATTTTCTGAAGCCAATGACAAGAAGATAGTATCCATAAGATTAAAACAACTACGCCCTGTCTTGAAAACAGTTGCTCTCAGGGCCTCCCTGGTGGCGCTGGAGGTTGAGCGCCACACTGTGAAACTGAAGCTGTCAGCAGCCTCCACAGCAACGGTTTGATTCCTGGCCAGCCCAGGAGAATCCCACATAGTGAGGCAGACCTCTCCTGTTTTACCCCCTGCTCCCCTCAGCAGTGTTTTCGATCTATCTGCCTGTTCTGTTCCCTGCTCTGTCTCTGGTGAATCCTCTCACCCTCCTGCGACTCTAGCCTGTACCCCAGCTCTTGTATATATATATATAAAAAAAAAAGTTGCTCTCAGAACTTCTTTAGGAATGCATACAGTATAATAAAACCCAAAAATTAACAACAGCCTTTTTGGAAATGAAGAATTTCAATGGGTATTTCTTCCATTGTTATTCAATATAAGTTTATGTAGCATGCCAAAGAGTAATTCAGCAAAACAAAATTCCACAAAAGCCCATTTAGTGAGGGCATGCCCAGAGGGCTGGCTTCATCCAGGAGGATGTTAAGGTAATCATTCTTAAAACTGGGGGTGGCTGGAGTGTTGAGATTTCCTTGGAGAATTCCAAGGAAAGCTATGGAAATCTTGGTGGGAGGAAATAGACATTTTGCACAAACACATAAAATGCTACCTACGATTACAATTTCCTACTCCCAAACTCCAATCACAGAAATGTGAGGGCTTGTGAAGTGCAAATGGAGAACACCTAACCCAGACTAAAGGTGTCATAGACATGATGTTCTAATGATTCTGACTGATCTACATGTTACATGTATTGACTGATGGAGTCCGGACTGATGGAAAGATGGAAGCAGTTGAGATAGAGCAACTTAAGTCATCAATTAACAATCAACCACTTGTTTATGAAGACACAGATAAACAGACATGTGAAAGGCAAAGACAAAAACTGTCTGTGCCAAGAAGTCCCACCTTAACTAAAATTAACAATTAAAATTAATATGCCTCTAAAAAGTGGTATAAACACAGGGCACTCAATTGGAGATGCTGAGGGATTCCAGGCCCCATGCCCATCGTCCTGAAACCTTGGGGTTTGGTCAGAGCCACCAGTCTCTTTTACTCTGAGAAGTGGCCTTCAGATGACTGGATACCAGGAACACTCCTGACCAGGCTCCACACACTGTCTGGGTAATATCCCAAACTTTGTCAAGAGATTGGTAACTGTCCCCCTTTTTTTGCCAATTGAACTGTATTCCTAAATTATGGTAATATGCTCCCACCCCATAAATTCATGCTGTGGTATGTGTACTTGGCTGGAGTTACAAGTGAAACTTACCCACTCCATGAGCGTTAACACTCTAGAGGTCCTGAACATGATAAAACAAATGGAGGAGAGCACATCCTTCAGGTGACTCCTCATAATGCTTTCTTTCAACTGGACTTTGGAGAATGAAGTGACCATCAGTTCGAGGCTATGTTTCTGACAAGAAACTGAAACAGCTGGGCCTTCCTGGTGGCACAATGGGTTAAGTCACAGTACTATGATGCTATCCATAGCCACTGCTGTACAAGTTCGATCCCTGGGAAGGAAGCTAACCCACATGGTGCAGCAGACCACTCCTGTCTCACCCGCTGTTCTCCTCAGCAGTCCATCTGCTGTTCTGTTCCCCACTCTGTCTCTGGTGGATCCTCTTACCGCCCCCTCACACCTGTGGCCTATACCCCAGTTCTTGTATGCATAAATAAATCAATCTTAAAAAAAAAAAAAAAGAAATTGAAGCAGCTGCCTCTCTACTGTAATGTCATGAACACAGGGAACTCCTGGGGACTCCTTAGGCTCCATCTAATTCCTGCAATTAAAATCCTCACCTCCTCAGTTTTCCTCACTTCAGCTGGTTGTGAAGGGACATCATCTGAAATAACCATGTTAAAACATAAATGACTAATAGCCCAGCCTCTCCCAGGGATACATCCATTTCAAAAAATGACTGAGCATTTTATCCAAATGGTGGCATTTCAAAAAGTGACACAGGAAAATAAAGAATTCCAGAAGAAGGGCCTCCCTAGTGGTGCAAGGTTTGGGGACACAGCCTATGAAGCTCTCTGCAGCCTCTGCAGCACGAGTTCAATACCCGACTGGCCAGGGAGCAGCCCACATGGTGCAGCAGACCTCTCTTGACTTGCCCGCTGGTCCCCTCAGCAGTATACTTCGGTCAGTCTGCCTGCTCTGTTCCCCACCCTGTCTCTGGTGAATCCTGTCACCCCACCACCACCCCTCTGGCCTGTACCCCAGCTCTTGTATGCATAAATAAGTAAATCTTTAAAAAAATAATTCCAGAAGGAAAAAAGAATGAAAAATAAGTAGTGAGCACCTACTACATGTCAGCACTAGACATACTCATTTGATTTTTCCAATAAGGAGATGAGCTGGTATTGTTGTCCACATTGTGTTGAGAAGAACGCCAATCCCCAAATAACAAAGTAGCTTAATGTCATACCACAGGGTTCTCAACTTCTGTGATCTTTGGAGTCACGTGGGGAATTTTACCTATACTGCATTCCACCCCAGACTTCACCCTGGACTTCAGCATTTTGGAAAGATCTTCTGGGGATTCAAATAGGCACACAGCTTGGGGAGCATTGTCAGAGAGTAGACGGTGGAAATATTACTGTCCCCATTCTTTCTTACTTGGGGGCAATTATTCCTTTGGAACACATCCGTGTTGTCACCCAAGTTGCATATATTTTGAACAAGTTTCATATCAGTTGGTATCTCAAGTCCCTGTGCCCCCACCACCACTCCCTCCCTTGCCCTGGCTCCCTGGACCCTCTACTCCAACTCGAGTTGGAAGGCTCCTACTAACCCTGCCTGTGTTAGAAAAGTTGCAATAATAAAGATTGTGAAGGTCACCCCTGGCAGTTTCAGTGGAGGACTCCTTGAGTTGTTCAGAGAACAAGAAATACAAACAGAATAAAAATAAGACTTCAGCAAATGATCTCACACTTCCCAGTCAACTACATTTTCCTGTAATACATAAAGCAGGTCAAAAAAACCTCTGAGGTTTGAGCAAGAAATCCCTGTCCCCTGTGGGGCAAAGAGCAGGGGATTGCAGCTTTCTATCATTAACCAGAGTAAACCATGTCAAAGAGGACTATCAGGTAACATGCTAGGACAATCTAAAAGCAACTGGCATTTATCTATCTGGTCAGAGATAGTAAATACAGAAAATGAAAATAATTTGCTCAATCTCTTTCATAATTAATTGTGCACAAATCTAAGTAGTGATGAAGATCTTTCTTTACCTGAAGCACTTCACCCCTCTGTAGGCATCCCCAGCTTTATTGCCCATAGGAAGTGAGCCCTTCTTGATTGATTTGACAAACACAGTAGAGCAGCTAGTATTTGCCTTAAACTGCTAGAGCTTGGGTGAAATGCAAGCCTGAATAAGGCACAGTGTTGGCTGTCAGGAGCTTACAGTCCAGGAGACAGTAGTGCAAACAAATAATTATAATATACTCCAGGAAAAACTGTAACCGAAGTAATCCCCTGAGCCAGGTGCATGGGGTCAGAGCAAGGAGGAAATACTTAGGCTGCAAGGTTAGGAAAGAGCTCGCAGGTGGCAGTATCTAAAATGACACTATAGAGGGATGGGCCCATATGAGCCCTCCTGTTTATTCCAGGCCTGTCTTTAGATTCTATACAAGAAGAGAGGGTTCAGTGGAGACACACATGGGTGACAGCCCTAGACAGAGCATGAATCATCCTTAAAAATTCAGAAGATGGACCTCCCCTGGTGGTGCAGGCAGTTGAGTGCCGCACTGTGAAGCTGCCCGCAGCCTCTGCAGTGCCAGTTCAATCCTGGCAGGCCTGCAAGGGTCCCACATGGCACAGCAGTCCTCTCCTAGCTCACCCACTGCTCCCCTCAGCAGTGTATTTCATCAGTCTGCCTCTTCTGTTCCCCGCTCTGTCTCTGGTGAATCCTCTCACCCTCCTGCACATCTGGCCTGTACCCCAGTTCTTGTATAAATAAATAGATCTTTGGGGGAAAAAAACATTCAGAAGAAGGGTTAGGGACTCATTATGCATCACTAAGGTCCAAAAGAGTGACCTGTTACTTTGGGGCCTGAAAAATGTCAGACTTGGGTATAACTTGGAGACTCTATCAGGACATTAAAGAGTTGGCCTTCAGTGAGAAAATGGTGGATCCCTGCATGACGCATTGTGCATTTCCCAGAAGTTTCTGATTTCCCAAACTTTCTCTTGGGATTCCCAAATGTACTAATGAGGTCTTTCAAATGATGCCAGTTTTGAAATCATGTTTGCCTTAGTATTCCAGTAAATAAAACTGGGCTTAGTCTTCCACATTGAAGATTTGGTTGGTCTTCATGAAATTCTCTGCCCCACCCTCCCCACCTCTGCTTCTTCCTATGGGTTAGCTTGGAGTGGTGATTTAAAATAAAATTTAAAAGGAAACCTTGATACTCCTAAACAGAGGCTTTGGAGGGGAAAACCTGCCAGCTTTTTGGGAATATGAATGTTTACTAAGCACTTTTCCCTAAAGAAAAACCCCCTCTTTTAAGGTCTACTGTTTGGAATATAAAGGGAGGGCAGGGCAGAGGAGAGGTGAATGTCATTCAGAAAGTAAACCTAGCAGCAGAATTTGGTAGAAAGGAAAAGAAATGGACTCATCAATTCCAAGTCCTCTCATTCCCATTCAACCTTAACTGCAGGCAAGAGCTTCTCCCATAAATCAGTTGGTGTGTTTACCTAACTTTTTTTGGCGGGGGGTGGGGGGTGGGGATCAACTATTGAATCCAGGAACTAGAACCCAGGAATCAAAATGCAAAGATGAAAGCCAAGGCTCTCAAAGGGGTTTACACTGTTTACTGACACATATGTTGATTTATTTTTTTTATATCTTGAACAAAACATTTGGAGCAGTGCTAAGTGTGGAAGGAGCCTGTCCTGGCCTCCAGCTTGGAATCCAGTACTAGGTGTGCAAGAGCCATGAGTAAGCACTGTGCCTGAACATGAGCAGTGCTGGGGAGTCCTCTGATATGGAGCACAGAGTCTGCTGAAAAACAGGGTCTTGGGACATTACTCTTTGACCTTGAGACTGCACTCCACAGGGACTTGGGCAAACATGGCTTCAAGGCAGCACCCAGTGAGAAAGGCCATGAAGGCATTTGCTAAACATTGCCCTGAAGACAGTGACTCTGAGAGAAGACAAATGCAGACTGAACAGATTTGTGGGAGAAAAGAGCACTCAAGAAAAAGTCAGGACAACTGCCTTCTTGTCCTGGATGCCCACACTTCCCTATCTATCACCCTTCCTATGTCATATGTTTTGTGTTGATGTGACAGATGGCAGACCTATTTAGAGCAGACAGGTTTGGGGGCTCTGGGGTGCCCCTCTTCCCTACCCTGTAACTTTTGGCCTCAGTTTCCTCACCTGTAACAGTGGGGGAATTGTAAGAGGCTGGTCCCCAGGAAAAGAGGACGTTCCAGGTCCCCCGCCCCACCCAAAGGAGGGTGGAACTGAGCAGGGAGGAGAAAAAGCTAGAGAAGAGACTGAAGAGGGAGGTAAGCAGGATGGAGAGCCAGAAAGAGACCTGGAGGAGGCACATGGAACAGAGAGACATGTGAAGAAACTGCCTGCCTTTTGGTCCTGGACTGGTTGAAGCAGATGTGGGTGAGAGACCTGTGGGGAGTCAACAATGGCAGGTTTTATCTTGATTTTGATTTTGCTCTTTTCCTCCCAGACTTGTCTGGTTGTTTCTGATCATTTCCTATGGGTCCCCAACAGAAGGTGCTTTAGACTCATGGCAGGCTTTCTGGCCTTGCTCTGGGCCAATCCCGTTTGGGTGGACATTTACCCATGAGGGGATGGGTAACTTTGGGTGACTGATTTAGAAACTATTTTCTTTGTCTTTCCTGTATTGTTCACTAATTGTATTAAAGTTCCTTTCTGTTAAAGTCATATGTTTTGTGTTGATGTGGCAGATGGCAGACCTATTTAGAGCAGACAGGTTTGGGGGCTCTGGGGTGCCCCTCTCCCTGCCCTGTAACAGATTGAGTGAATCATCTCTGAGTTTTCACCACAGTCTGGGTAAACTTCTCGCCCCCACCCCCCAGGGGCCTCCGTGGCCCTCCTTGGCTCTCACAGAAATCTAAGGTTCCGTAAGTGACTTTCCAGGAATCCACCCCAGATATGGCAATGAATGCCATAGCTGGGAGAAAGAGTCTTCCAGACTCTAAAAGGAATGCCTCATTGTAAATTAGGTAAGTCAGTCACCTGATTTACAACCTTCATTTATCTACTGAGCCCAGCCAACTCAGGGTCACTGATAAGACTGAGGGAGTATCTCCAGGGTACTCCCATGCCCAGGCCTCCTCCAGATTCTTCCTGATGATTCTTGTCTTCAATGTGATTGCCAAGCACCTACTGAGCACCAACC